TATATATATATATATATATATATATATATATATATATATATATATATATATATATATATATATATACACACACACACATACACACATACACACACACAAAATTTATCAATTATAATATATAATTTATTTTAATTCAAATAAGAATCATTAACATAATATAAGATCATGGAACATGGAGCATAAATGTTTCATTTGTTCTATGGTCGTATATTTCAGAATGTAGTCAATTATATTACTGTTATAAAATTAAAAGTAATACATTTTGTTTATATTGACAATTACAATTCTAAATATTAATGAAAAACAAGCAACACAATTTTGAAGAATCTTTAGTCCACTGTGTCTACAATTAAAGAATTATGATAAACAAATCAGCCTCAGTTTTACTGTTAATATTGAAATAATTCAATTGACTTTAATTAAATTTCTGAATGGGATATAAAAGTGCAATTCTGTTCCACTATATAGTTCTTTACGGACTTTTCAGGTCTCCTGATGTCTGGTTTGGAATTTTGTGAATCTCTGATAGGGTTTTTTTTCCCTCACTTTTTTCTCCCACTCTTCTCTCGTGACTTTGTTTTTCTGAATGCTGGTAAACACTCATATATTTTTATCTCCTTCTCTGGTTCTGCGTAATGGTGATATTTCCAGATTTAGGGTGTGCGAGAGCTGTTTTTCTGATTCACACTAATTCAGAACTCAACTGATTGAATTTGGGTACAAATTCAAATAAATACATTACAGCATGTCAGCAGGGGTGTAAACATTTGAGCATGTTTATAAAGAGAACTGCTAAATGACTCTCAGTTGTTTTAATATTTAAGTTTCAGTCAGAAAACAACATTGAATTAACATGGATGCAAACTTTAGCACTGAACTGTAAATGTTAAGAAGTGTGTTAGCAACTGAGAAAGTTCCTTTATTGCATTGTTTTAGAAACTTAAACACTTAAAACTTGAAACTATACCACATCACATAAAAACGTATCACTTAAACATGTTCAGTGTTTATTAGTTAGGTTTAAATGCTGTGATACCTGCCTGAATATAATTCTAGTATAATTTTAATGTTTTCCAAACTCAAATATATTTGAGTAAAGTGGAAAAACTATAATTTTATAAATGTAATATGCTCTGTTGCAGACACACCAATGTGAGTGTGTGGTGATGTACACATGCATGATGCTAAACTGGTGGCTATAAACTTTCCTTACTATATCACAATATTAGCCTCATAGCTAATGAATCTGAATCAACTTTTAAAAATAAATTTCAAGAAAAACAGGGCTAACACACATACACACACACACACACACACACTCCTGACTCAGTGTTTTGTGTGTGTGTGTGTGTGTGTGTGTGTGTTTTTAAAAACACACTTCACTGATTCAAACACCGAACCGCTAAACTCAACACACACTCCTGTTACACATACACACATCCGAAACGTCAGTGCAGTCGACAGCAGAATGTGTGTCAGAGCGGATATCACCCTCCCACTGCTTTCTGAACACATCATCATCATCTCACACACACAGTTTAAATTTGTCATATTGATTTTTTTTAATAATACAGTATTTAGAATAAAAGAAATTCAAATAAACTTTTGTTTTTTTTTTTTTAAGTAAAAAGCCAAAACAATAACCTGTAAACTTGTGTGTGTAGAAGACTCCAGGGAGTAACTGTGGTATGTGTCACTGCATAAACGTAAACAATGTAATTACACAAAGTTTCCAGAGAAACAGGAAATATCAGGTAAAAGCGAGTACGGTAGAGTATTTATTATCTTTTGGAGACGTTAGCTGTCTTCAGAATAAACATCTATTTAAAAAACAGAACATATGTAAGGTATATGAACGTTATTTTATATAGTCACTATATCAGATTTCATTATTGCAGTACAATCACATTTATATACTCGCACAGATACACTTTGTTTTTGTGACTTTATACACCACCACAATGGATTTGAAATAAAACAAACAATCAAGATGTGATGGAAGTGTAGACTTTCAGCTTTATTTTAAGAGGCTCAACAAAAATATGGCATTTACCATTTAGGAATTACAGCCGTTTTCAGCAAAGTGCCTCCATGTAAATATAACCATAATTTTAATACTTGGATGAAAATCCTTTGCAGTCAATGACGGCCTGAAGTCTGGAGCCCATGTTCTCAAAACTCAAATTCTGAGGTTCCTCCCTGGAGATGCTTCACCAGACCTTCACTGCAGCCACCTTCAGTTGGTGCTTATTTGTGGGTCTTTCTGCCTTCAGTCTTGTCTTCAGTAAGTGAAAAGCAGCTCTATTGGGTTGAGATCAGGCGACTGACTTGGCCATTGAAGAATATTCCATTTCTTTGCCTTCAAAAAGTCTTGAGTTGCTTTCGCAGTATGTTTAGGGTCGTTATCCACCTGCACTGTGAAGCGGCGTCCTATCAGTTTTGTAGCATT